ATCAGCTTTTAGAAGTCCATTCTCCTCTCCCACCATGTGGGTGATGACTGGCTTGGGAAGTCAGAGCCATCTCTCTAGACCCTAGAACGTGCAGTGATCTTCCTGCCTCTGCTTCCTGAGTTGTGGGAGCCACCATGCTTGCCTCATATGCCAGTTTTTAGGTACAAGATTTCACATACAGGGTTTTATATACAGGTTTATGTTAGGGAACAAAAATCTCAACACTTTCAATGGAGGCATGCATGTGGTGTATGCGTGCGTGCACACTTGAACACGTGTGTGCACACACACAAATACACACACACACACACACACACACGAGGAAAACATCCACCCACATGAAACAAATAAAAGCATATAGAAAGAACCACAATGGAGGCGTGGGTGCAGTGCACACACCGTATGTGTATGAAAACGCCTGTGCACATAAAGCAAACTTAATAAAAAGAAGTACAATGGAATCTTGAATTAATTCCAAGCTTCATGTTATACAACGGGAACAGGAGGGTTAAAGTGGGATTGTCCAGGGTCTGAGCAGACAGCGCAGGAGGTGAAAACACTTTCTACAGAAGAGGACCTGAACATGAACCCCCAGAACTCACGGACAAGCAGGTGCAGTGACATGGATCTGTAACTCCAGCACGTCTATAATGAGATGAGAGGCAGAGACAGGAGGATGCAGTACAGTGGGGATCAGAGACTATGTATGCCTCAAGGTGGAAAATGAAGAGGAAGCTGCAACACTGAGCTTGCCCTCTGACCTCACATGTGCACCCACATACCAAAAACGTCTACACTAAACAAACAAAAACTGAAGGGGCTGGAGCGATGGCTCAACAGTCAAGAGCATTGGCTATTCTTGCAGAGGACCTGGGTTCGGTTCCCAGCACCCACATGGCAGCTCACAATGATGCCTAGTTCCAGTTTCAGGGGTCCTTAAACCCTCTTCTGAATTACATGGGCATCAAGCATGGACACGGTGGATAAACTAACATGTATGGAAAACATGCATGCACATAAAATAAATAAATCTAAAAAACCCAAAAACCCTGGATTTCAGTTGCACCCCACAGAAAGCTTCCAGAGAGGAGAGCTGTGTCCCAGTCTCAGTGGAACGAATCCGTATGCTGAGAGAGTATGCTGCATCTCCATGGAAACAGATGATGGCAAGAAGGATCATCTTCGATGGCAGTCACTCCATTCACACAGCTGAATCAGATTTATCTTGACACAAAGGACTCCTGTAGCTCAGGTTAGCCTCAAACTCCCTAAGTAACTGAGGATGACCTTGAGCTACAGTCCTCCCCCCTCCCTCCTCCCAAATGGTGGGTTCACACAAGTATCTACCTCTCCTACTTTATGTAGTGCTGGGGCATCAAGCCCAGGGCCTCATGCATGCGGGGCGAGCACTCTCTACCTACTCAGCCACAGCTACAACCCTTCACATCTGGGCTCAAAAACTTGTAATTGGTCTGACTCAAGCTCAGCCTCCCCTGTATACACTGAAACCCAGTCTGGGCCACTTGAGATGCTACACACATGGAATCCCAGTACCTTGGAGGCTGAATCCAGAGATTCTTAAATTTGAGGCAAATCACTTGGGAGGAAACAGTTCACTGTGAGCTTGGGGACACATGGCTCAGGGCAAGGAGAACCCTGGGCATTCAAATACATCTTGTCTCCCTCAGCAGTTTCTTAGCACAGGTCCACCAGTTTTGTAAATAATTTATTGATTCATTGTTATCTTTCAAATATTTGCTTTTATTTTTAATTATCTGCTTGCATGTGGGTATGCACGCACACAGGTATAGGATGGGGTTGGAAGACAGCATCGGATTCCCCCAGAGCTGGAGTTCCAGGCCCTGTGAACTGTCAACAAACACCTGGAATAGCTCGGCCATGTCTTCACCCCAGTTTTTAAGTTTTTTTGTTTTGTTTTGTTTTGTTTTTGGTTTTTTCAAGACAGGGTTTCTTTGTGTAGTCCTGGCTATCCTGGAACTCACTCTGTAGACCAGGCTAGCCTCGAACTTTTGAACTCAGAAATCCACCTGCCTCTGCCTCCCAAGTGCTGGGATTAAAGGTGTGCGCCACCACTGCCCGGCAGTTTTTAAGTTTTGAGACAGGATCTTACGAGGTTTTGAGGCTGGCGTGGAATTCACTATGGAGGCCAGACTTGATACTGACCCTCAAGTGTTGAGGTGACAGGAACACATCACTAGACTTCTAGCTTGGTTCTTCTGAAGTTGATTTTGGAAAGTGTGGCCTTATGGACCTGAATTGAAAGTTTTCCTTCAGGTCCTTACCTCCAGAGTTTGCCACAGCCCCCTGAACAGTGAGTTCTTCACAAAAGCCTCTAGAAGGTATGGACAGACTCTGGAAGGTCAAAGGCCACTTCTCACAGATAGGGAAGGCTCACTTCTCATTAGATAGGGAATTCACTAGGAGACTCTGACTTGTAAGGGAGGTCGCCTGTGTGGCCCTAGAAGCTTAAGGAACAAACCCTCCAAAAGTACCCCCAGCCTCTTCCCCATCCTGACAGAGTCGGTCACCTCATACCGCCCAATAGCACCAGAGAGAAAACCGTGAACCAGGACTATGTTGTCAGCAACCATTCTGCAGACATGTAGATACCAGACATCACCCCCACCTCGCCCCACCCCCCAGTCCCACCAAATTGAAGTGTTTGCTAAGACATCTGGACATTTGGCTCCCCGACACAAGACAGCCAACAGACTCAGCACCCACATCCTGATTCTCTTCTTACCCCCCTGGGCCTCACCACCACACTTTTTCAGGTCCCTGGACAGCAAGAGTCCTGGTGGTCTGTGAAGGGAGTTTCTCTGACCTTAAGGATGTGGACCAAGAAACCCTATCTCAAAAAACAACAAAACAAAACAAAAGGATGTGGACCAAACCATGGTGGAATCACAAGGACTTCTCAGGTGAACAAGGAATTAAACAACAAACAAACTAGCAGTGATTTAGAGGAAAATGCTTGGACTGGGGACATGGTTCTGAAGGCTGAGTGCTTCCTGAGCATGAAACTCTGGGTTTGACTTCCAGCACTTGGGAGATGAAGGCAGGAAGATCAGAAGGTCAAAGTCAAGTTTAATGCCAGCTTGGGCTGCTAAAACTCTGCCTTAAAAGACAATACCTCAGGTTTGGACCAAGGCTCCAGTTCTGGGGTGTTCACTAAAGAGAGTCCCAAAGGCACAGCTGTGACTGCCACGTCCTACTACCAGCTCCTGCATCCCCGCCTGGACCTTCACTAAAGAACTTCTCAAGGGGCAGGGCACAAGCAGACCCAGCAGCCTACCCCACCCCAGGCATCCCGAACACCATCTTCTGTCATAAGCCCCCCCACGTGTAACCCCAGCTCCAGCTGGGATCCAGATGCCTTGGGCTCTTGCCTACGGTGGGGTCATCCACAGTGAGTGTCAACTGCTTCCAAACACCCAATGACAGGCACACTCTCCTGTTTCCAGTCACAGCAGTCTGCAGGTGGGACAGAGGAGCCGCTGCTCAGTATCCATCCAGGGCAAGAGAAACCTAGCATGGCGTCTAAAAGAGTACAGTTAACTCTCATCGTCAAAAAGGGAAAAATCTGCAACTCGGTGGCAAGAAGTCCTGTTAGACGCTGGACCCTGGTCCCAGCTCTCTACTTTCTACCCTGATTCGGGAGGTGACAAAAGTCTCCCTTTGTCTACGCTCCTTCTGCTCTTTCTGCTCCTTCTGTTTGTCCTACCTTGGGCTGGGAGACCTGAAATTCCTGCAGCTAGATATGGTCCCAGGAGACAGGGTGGCCTCTGGGTTAATGATGGGTTGGTCTGGGCTGGTCGCAGGTCTTGTAAATCAGACCATGCTGAGAGTGCATACCAGAGACAAGGAAAGAGAATTAAGAGAATTAGAGAATTGCTACTGAGTTCTCAGTGTGTGTGTGTGTGTGTGTGTGTGTATGTGTGTCACCACAGCTGAAGTGTGGTGTCTTCACGTTATGTGGCTTGGTTGCCTCCTAATGTCCTAATAACAAAATTAAAGGCACGTACCATCATGGCAGACTATCCACCTTAGTCTTTGAGACAAGATCTCTTACTGAACCTGGAGATTTCTGATTTAGCTAGACTGGCTGGCTCGCCAATGAAGCCCAGGCATCCTTTGTTTCTACCCTAGGATTGGACATTTGCCATGTGGTCTCTGGGATTTGAACTCAGGACCTCTAGAAGAACAGTCAGTGTTCTTAACCATTTAGCCATCTCTCCAGCTCCCGTTCTCTGCATTCTTTGTCTTCCTGACTCCTGAGTGCTGGGGTTACAGGCATCTGGGGATGGAACCCAGAACCTCCTGAGTGCTACAAAAACCACTCCAGTCATTAAGCCATACCCCCAGCCTCAACTAGTGTGAGGTGACAGGATTATTGTCCCTTATAGTTAGTGAGGCTGAGTCTCTTTCCACGGGTCCATCATAAAACAAACAGGATATTAAGCACCACAGCCAAGGCAAACCAAAGAATGGCCTTGCAGCCCCAAGGGCCTTGCAGCCCCGAGGGCCTTGCAGCATGCTCTAGTTGTCCTGGGTATGATACCTCCCAGAGAACTGTGGCTCTAAGAGCCATCAGAGGCACTTATGTACACTCCTAACTGAACAGAAGAGAAACAGCAAGAAGTGCCATAAGGAAAAACAGGATGCATTGGAAACTGAACCTCAGTCCTCTGCAAGAGCAACTGGTGCTCTCAACAGCTCAGCCATTTCTCCAGCCCCAGATCAGTTCTGTATGAAGCCCTGCCTTCAGTGTTGGGAGACCCCACACTCCTTGTCTCTGCCTCTTTCTTCACACTTCCTCTCTGCATTTCCCTAGCTATTTACTGCTAATTTGTCTCCCCTGTATAAATTTTAGGAACAGTTTGTCTGGTGCCAGCCTTGAATTCCTCCACTGTCTCCTCTTCAGCTGTATGTGGTAAAGGCTCCAAAACCTGTATTTTATCTTCCAGATGACAGTAGACATGGAAAGTCCAAGAGGCTATGAGAAGACCAACCAAGTAAGCACCTGCCATCCCACTGTGCTGGTTAGGGGTCCTGGAGCTCCATGTTATCCTGTTCCCTCTTGCTGTTGTCTGTCTACATGGCTTAGCTGGCCTGGAATTCACTACGTAGAGCAGGCTGGCCTTGAACTCACCCCTTTGCCAAGAGGTCCAATGACACATGGCACAGCTGTTAAAAGCCTTTCCTATCCAGATCTGGGCAGCAACATTGCTCAACAGTTTTGTTGTCGTTGGGGCAATATAAGCACACCTAGACAGAGTCAAGAACCTTAGTAGGGAAGGAACTTCTACAGACCGGGAAAGCTTAGTAGCCTGTTCCCAGCAAGAGCCTGACTGGCCTGACATTCTCAGTTCCTACAGGAGGGACACATCTGGGGCTCCATGAGGAGGACAGCTCTCATCCTGGGCTCTGGGCTGCTCTTGTTGGTGGCCTTCTGGAACTCAGTTACATGGTGAGTGTGTTCCGTCCAGACCTGTGGTGAGAGGCACGGCATGAAAGAGCTGGCTTCCAGGTCTCCCAGAATCTTGAATGATTTTCCTTCCAAGGCATCTTCAAAGATTTGTGGGTACTTCCGGCTACTTCTGGCAGACCCAGTGGGAGAAACTACTGTCTACATTTGAAGGCAATGAGTGGCTCCTCTTCATTTTAGGTGAGGTTCTAGCCAGAGGGCTGTTTTGTGCTCTACATCTGTTCTTCTCCCATACTACTTTATTATTTATTATTGTTGTTATCATTATTATTGTTGTTGTTATTTGAAGGACAGGCATAAGGTTGCCATTGCATGCCTGAGGCGGTTAGAGGACAACATGCAGAAGCTGGTTCTCTCCTTCCACCACGTGGTCCTGGGAGCCGAGTTGAACTCAGGCTGCCAAGCTCGGCTGCCAGCACCTTCACCTGCTGCTGCTCTACGTTATGGGCCCAATCTGCTCGCCTGTAGTTTTGTTTTTTCAGACAGGTTCTCATTATGTACCCCTGGCTGTCTTGGAACTCAGATCCTCCTGCCTCTGCTTCCTGAGTGTTAGGATTATAGCATTTGGGCTGGAGAGATGGCTCAGCAGTTAAGAGCACTGACTGTTGTTCTTCCAGGGGTCCTGAGTTCAATTCCCAGCAACTACATGGTGGCTCATAACCGTCTGTAATGGGATCCGATGCCCTCTTCTGGTGTGTCTGAAGACAGCTACAGTGTACTTGTATAAATAATAGATAATATTTTTTTAAAAAGGAGTATAGCATGTACCACTACCTGCCTAACCTGCTGGGTTTCTGTTTGTTTTTTTATGTATGTGACTACACTGTAGCTGTCTTCAGACACACCAGAAGAGGGCCTCAGATCCCTTTACACATGGTTGTTAGTCACCATGTGGTTGCTGTGAACTGAACTCAGGACCTCTGGAAGGGCAGTCAGTGCTCTTAACCACTGAGCCATCTCTCCAGCCCAACCTGCTGGTTCTTTTCTTTTTTCTTTTTCTTTTTTTTGAGACAGGGTTTCTCTGTGTAGCCCTGGCTGTCCTGGAACTCACTCTGTAGACCAGGCTGGCCTCGAACTCAGAAATCCGCCTGCCTCTGCCTCCCAAGTGCTGGGATTAAAGGCATGCGCCACTACTGTCCGGCTAACCTGCTGGTTCTTTAACCAAGTTTTTCATTGAACACTTGTAGCCATCTTGCCACATGATCAAGGGTTTAATATTTCATTTTGCCAGGTCTGTTCTGTCACATGGAAGATTCCTCATCTCGTATTAACAGTTAGGCTTCTTTAAATGTTTCCTTGTATAAAAAACCATGCTATTGATATACTTTATGTGTATGTGTTCCTGAGTGTATGTCTGGGTACCATATTCATACAGGAGCTAGAGGTCAGAAGAAGGTATTGGTTTCCCTGGAACTAGAGTTACAAACAGCTATGAACCACCATGTGGGGAATGGGAATCAACCCCAGTTCTCTGGAGAGAAGCCAAAATGCTCTTAACGGCTGAGCACCCTCTATATATAACCCTTAGATTTTCTTGTGTTTTTTGTTTGTTTGTTTGTTTATTTTGAGGCAGGGTTTCTCTGTGAAGCCTTAGCTGTTCTGGAACTTGCTCTATAGACTAGGCTGACCTCAGACTCAGAGATTTGCCTGCCTCTGTCTCACAAGTGCTGAGATTACAGGCATGGGGTTCCACCACCTGGCTTTTCTTGTTCTTTGTAAAGATGCCACGTCAGCATTTCCATGAACAAACCTATGCGTATCTGCTTTCTGTCTCCTATTTCATTTCAGAGTCTATCCAACTGTTCTGAAGAATGGATCTACCAGTGGGTCTTCTCACACTGGCCAAGTTTCTTCCTGTGCCTGTCCTACCCCAGACTTGCGTTTGATAAAGCAGGAAAGGGACTAGAAGAAGGGTACAGAGGAAGATTCAGTGAAACAGTGTCGTTGTTCCTAAGACGTTTCAATCCAGTAAGAGGTCACCGAGCAGTTAGTTAACCATGTTCTCTGGATGACTGCCTTAGGTCATCCAAGGACATGCAGAGCGGGGTGTGACACAAAGAGCCAGATGAAGCATGTCTCGGTCACGATTTTCTTTTTCATTTTGGCCAGGGACATGCATATACCTACCACACTGTGTGTGTGGAGGGCAGCAGATGTCTCTGCAGTATCTGCTCTCTGCACTTTTACATGGCTTGTGGGGCAGGGCTCAGCTCCTCAGGCTTATTTAACAAGACCCTTAACAATGAGCCACCCTGCAGGCTCTATTTTCCTTCTTCTTGGCATAGGGCTTCATGTAGCCCAGGATGTCCAAGAACGGGCATTGGGAAGTAATGGATGGGATGGCCAGGTGCCATCAGCAGCCATGGAGCGACACTTGTGAGGGGAAGGGAAGTGTCACCACAACTTGTGCTGAGAGGGTACAGCAGCAACACCTGTTACCGCAGCAGGTGGCTGAGGCAGGGGGATTGCTGTGAGTTTGGGGTCTATCTGGACTATCCAGTGAGTTTCAAACTAGCCTGGGAGAGACTGAGACCCTGTCTCAAAACAAGTCAAAAATTACCCAAATCCTCAGGTGTGGTGGGACATACCTTTAACCCCAGGATTTGAGAGGCAGAGGGAGTAGGCAATATACTGTGAGTTCAAGGCAACCTAGCCTACACAGACAGGACTACACAGTAAGACCCTGTCTCTCTCTCTCTCTCTCTCTCTCTCTCTCTCTCTCTCTCTCTCTCTCTCTCTCTCTCACACACACACACACACGCACACGCACACGCACACGCACACGCACACGCACACGCACAGTGAGTGGAAGAGGGACAGAGACAAGACAGAACAAATACAGACACCTAGTGACTTGTCCAGGTTCTGCGGCAAGGACTTGAGCAGTGAGTCATCAGGCAGGAGACAGATCCACGTGGCTTGTTCATTCCTTCCTGGTGAGCCACTGTGGTGCCTGGGGCTGTTCTAAGTCCCTCTGCTCCCTGCCTCAGGTGTTGTCCTCGTGCCAGCGCTGTGCTTCTGGGGCTTCAATGGCCTTCTACTGCTGGTGGACACAACGGAAAAACCCACCTTCATCTCCCGCTACCGCATCCAACGTGGCAACAATGAGCCGGTAAGTATCACTGTGTCTCTTAGTGCTAGGAAGGCAGGGACCAACGTCAGGGCAAGTCAAAGACATTCTTGAGGTGACCTGAATCCAGAAGGTAAGAGAAGGGAGCTGGGGGAATACTTGGTTGGTAGAGAGCTTTTTTTTTTTTTTTAATCCCAAAAGTAGCCCTGGGTTCCATCCCTAACACACATATGAGGATGTACAGCTATAATCTCTGCACTCTGGAACTGGAGACAGGAGAATTAGAAGTTCAAGGTTATCCTTGTCTACACAGGAAGTTTGAATGTAGCCCAGGCTATAGGAGACCCTGTCTAAAAGAAGGGGCCGGAGATGGTTCAGCAAGTAAGTGCAATTGCAGCCAAGCCGGAAGACCTGAGTTTGATCCCCAGAACCCACACCCCACATAGTAGAAGGAGAGAACTCTTCATTTACTCTGATCTCCAGATGTACACCAGGGCACAAAGGTTCCTTCACACATACACACAGGGGTCGGGTGGGGGAACGAATAAAAAAAAAAGAAAAAAGAAATTAAAAGGCTACTCAGCCATCAGCCAGTCTAGAACAATGTACTGGTCTCCTGGTTCCCACCCCAGGCTGCTCCATGACGTATTAGGAAGAGAAGCGACTGCCTTAGCCTGGACTCGACTGTCTCAGAGATGGCAGCCTGTTAGCCATGGCACTGAGAGCACAGATCTGAAACCAGACATCTCCTGTCCCAAAGGAGGAACCCCTACTGTACCAGGTGGTGGTATAGACTCTGAATGTAGTTATTTTTTAGCCGCCTCCCCCCACCCCCTCTTCTTTCTCCTCTAAAAGACAAGGTTCCCTGTGTAGCCCCGGTGTTCCTAGAACTCACTCTGTAGACCAGGCTGGCCTGGAACTCACAAAGATCCACCTGCCTCTGACGCCTGAGTGCTGCGGTTAAAGGAGAGCCTCCTTAGTCATCCAACGCAACCAGTAGTGTGAGCCACCAGGACAGCCCCAGGAAGGCAGGAACAGTGCTGGCTTCTGAGCAGCCCCACATGCTTACTGTAGGGATTGAATCACCGCAATGCAGCCTGAACTTGGCTTCCTGGTGCTCTGACAACCTGCAGAGACAACCTTCCCTACACAACAAGGCAGAGCCTGATTCTGAAAACAAGCTATTCTACAGCCCCACCCAAAGCCTGTCCTGACAATCAGCTCCTAACCTGCCCTTGTGTCTGCATGAGTCACCTCTGCTTTCAAGGCTGTCTGCGCCTGGCACCAAAGGCAGGATGGGAAAAAAGGAGTCCTGATGGAGCCCTCTGAAACGGTCCTCTCCTGAGATGACAGCTACCGGACAATTGAAAGGGCTTCCTCCTGCCCACCCTGAAAGAACACAGACTGGAGGCCTTTATGTCAGTATTTGGCCTGTAAGACCTTTTCATCTGCAGGCTGGCTGTCTCCAAAGCAGTCACCATTGACTAAATGCTTTCATCTTTGAGGCTATACACTGTGATGATTGTCATGGTTCAGATGAAGCTTTGTCATGGTCCCTGAGATAGACTAGAGATGAAATAGACTAGAATCTCTTCTTTCTTCTCTTCTCCCACCCCAAAGGGTCTCATGTAGCCCAGGCTGCCCTCCAACTTGCTATGTAGCTGAGGATGATCCCAAACTCCCAATCTTCCTTCTACCTCACACTGGGCTGGGGATCATACCCACAGCTCCAAAAGGATACCAAGAAGGCACTCTGCCCACTGAGCTATGTCCCGGCCCCACCCTGGAGCTTCCAGTTCCAGAGTACCTACAGATCCTCACCAGGCCACAGCTGTGAATATCATGTGTTACCTAGAAACCTTTCAATGACTGGCGAGCAGTAGGCTGTTGTTGGGGCTTCTCCCAGAAGCCAAGGTCTAGAGGTGAGTGACCAGTTCAAGTTTTAACTTTCCAGGCCACAGAGGCAGAGCTTAACCCATGTAACTCCAAGGCTAGCAACCTGCGCTTCAGACTGAGGACACAGGAAGGACCCTGGGACCATCTAGTCCCTAGCTATCTGTAGGACGTGCTGACTTCAGAAGGATCCCGGGATCCCACTGCAGTGGATGCTGATGTGTGCTGGATCTTAGCCCGCCCACGCCACCACTGTCCCATCTCCTTGCCTATGCACATCTCTCTTCTCTCAACACCTCCTTTCTGATCTGGCCTCTACCGCACTGAGGAAATGAAAGCACGATCCACCTACTGCTCTCAGCGCTCCGGGTCTCATGCTTCTCCCGTTCCTTTAGGTCCGGATCTGTGCCTGCCACCTCTCCTGGCTCCTGTCCCTCCTACTCCAGGAAATGTCTCAGCTTCTTCATTCTTCCCTTTCTTACATTCCCTCTCCCACAACACAGCTTCTCTTTGCATTGTGATATAAATGCAAATGCTGTAATTGTTCCATCTCTAAAAAACAAAACCCAAATCTTGGTTGGGTGTGGTGGGACACACCTAGAATCCCAGCATTTGAAAGAGAGGCAGGAAGATCAGAAGGACTGCAAGAGACTGTTTCTTTAGATGAGTATTTTCCCTGCATGTATGTCTGTGTACAAAATATATGCAGTACCCACAGAGTTGAGAAGATGTCAAGTTGACAGTTGTGAGCTGCCATGTGCATGCTGTGAATCGACCTGGGTTCCCTGGGAAAAGCCAGTGTTCTTCCCCAGAGTCATCTCTCTAGCCCCCAAGATTGTTTCAAAAACCGGAAACCAAAACCAGGCCTTGGCCCGATGCACACTACCACCGCCCACTATTCTCCCGTGTAAGGCAAAGGTCTCTGACAGAGCCATCTATGTAGTCTCTCAGAGCTGTCTACATTGTCTCAGAACTGTCTATGCAGCTCCTCAGAGCCATCTCTGCAGCTTCTTAAAACAGTCTCTGTCCTGGTTCTCAGCTGTCTTTTTCCAAACACTTAACAGTAAGGAAGTTTTAAACATACAGACAGAAATGTAGGAGAAATATGAGACGCATCTACATACCATCTCGGATTCATCCATTTAAATACTCTATAATTTCTAACTTTTTCTTGAACTGTTCCAAGTTTGAAACATTGGAGAAGTACTGTTGTTTCTAAGTCTCTTTCCCATAAGGCTGTTGCTTCCTTCCTATTTCCGTAGACCATACCAGTGGCCGAATTTTCAGACCATATATTCCTGACAGGTATCTTGTAGCCACAAAGGCACTTGGTGGAGGTTGCCAGCCAAAAGGTTGACAATCCAGAGACTATTTAGCCTTTCCTCCTGGGACAAGCTTGTCATCTGTTCAGCCTCACTGGATTGGCCCCAAGCAGAGGAAGCTGAGGGAAGTGGAGGCCTGCCTATGCTGGCCTCAAATCTATGTAGAGGCTTTGTTCTCAGGTCACACAGACCTTCTGGAATCCTTTAAGATGACTGAGCCAATCATCACTGACTATCTGTTTCTGTGTTTAACTGGTATTTGTTTCTTTGTCCGTGTAAAGCACTGTGGGTCAGAACTAGGCAGTGATGGACCCTGGCCCACAGAACCTATGCTCTGGTTGGGACATTGCCAAGGACCGGACAGGTCTCTACTGCCAGCCCCAGATGGAGGACTACCCCGGTCACTCCCAAAAACCTATCCCGAGCAGGTCAGGTGGAAACCTATTTCTCATGTGCCCCTCCCTGTTCCGTCTGTCCTCTGGCAGGTAGACCCTGTGAAGCTGCGTCAGTCTATCCGTACAGTTATCTTCAACCAGAGCGTCATCTCTTTCCCCATGCTGGTCATCTACTATCCTTTCTTAAAGTGGAGGAGAGACCCCTGTAGTCGAGAGCTGCCTACCTTCCACTGGTTCCTGGTGGAGCTGGCCTTTTTCACCCTTGTGGAAGAAATCTTGTTCTACTACTTACATCGGTGAGCTCCTTACATGTACACAGTCAGCCCCACCTTGGGGCAGCTCCCTGGTCAGCAAAGGCCTCTGAACTGGGGTCTCTATTCTCAGGCCCCACCCAACAATTGCCAGAGACACAACTGATTCTCCCAACTTGACACAATGCCCAGTGAAAAAAATAGCTGTATGTATGGGAGAGCTGGCCCTTTCTGGGCATCAGTTTGCTTCACCACTGGAGCTGGCAGGCAACGCTAAGCCAGCCTCGTCATCCACGATGAGACGAGAGGAGAGCAAGGAATAGTTGCTAGCACCTCAGATGGGGACCACACTCCCACCTTGGCTTTCTGATGATCTGCTTGGGATGAAGGGAAAAGGGGAGTTGACAGTTACCACTTATCTTTCCAGGCTCTTCCATCACCCAAAGTTGTTCAAAAAAATTCACAGGAAACATCATGAATGGACAGCACCCGTTGGTGTGGTCTCAATCTATGCCGATCCTATAGAACACATGGTAAATATAGCCCCTGAAGCTCCCAAAGTAGGGGCTGGTATTTCCCTGCCCTGTTATTTTCATCTTCTCACTGAATAGCTGCCATCTCTTGGTTGTGCCAGGTGCCTAGTGTGCATTATCACATTCTCCCCAGTCACCTTTCGCTCAAGAGGAAGGTTAAGCTAAGCACGAGTATCCCTTTACAATCCAAGGCGATCTGTCTCCCTGCAGTATCAATGGAAGGCAGAGTGAACACTCAGCTGGGTCTCTCCATCTCCTAGAATCCTCCTTCCTCTTGCAGGTTGCCAACATGTTGCCAGTTATGGTGGGTCCTCTAGCAATGGGCTCTCACTTGTCCTCCATCACTGCGTGGCTATCCCTGGTTCTCATCATCAGCACGCTCACCCACTGTGGCTACCACTTGCCCTTCCTGCCTTTGCCTGAGTTACATGAATACCACCATCTCAAGTAAGCCAACAACACCCTGGTTCAAATGTCTCAGCAGACAGTGCTGTCTATCTGAATGTGTGAGCCAGTCAGGGGAGGCACCTGGCTATGGGAAAGATGCCACCTAGACAAGGCCACCTTGATCTTTTCTTTTTCCTGACACCAGTTTTTTCCTGCAGTTGGGAATTTTAATCATTATTTGGGCTCTGGACTTTCTGAATCTTGGGATCCTTGAATTTTCTCCTCAGAACCCATGTGCATAAAAACTTGGCACACTGAAGCATCATCTTAGTTTTGAGACAGGGTTTCTCTATGTAGTTCTGGCTGTCCTAAAACTTAATGTAGACGCCATTGGCCTCAAACTCAAGAGATCTGCCTGCCCCTGCCTCCTGAGTTCGGATTAAATGGGCCACACCACAACTGGCCTTATCCCAGGCTTTTCCTGGGTCACCAGACAGAACACAGGTTCTTGCATCCCACTCCAAACTCACCAGTCGAAATACCTGTAGAGCACACCTTGGGATCCTGCCTCCTTGGGATCCTGTCTTCCATGGTGGTCTGATGCAGGGAGCCTCTCAGCCTACCTGAGCAAGCATAGATCTGCATGACGTCGTAACTTCTGCATACCAGAATCACACAGTAAAAGTGGGTAGGGAGTTCCCAGAGAGAGGGTTCAGCAGTTGAAATGCTTTCTGTAGCTGGGCATGGCAGCAGGCCTTTAATCCCAGGACTCAGCAGGTGGGCTCAGTGTGAGGTTAACCTGGTCTGGGAGAGTTCCAGGCCAGCCAGGCCTATACAATGATTTATACTCATATAAATGTCAACCTTGCTCTTGTGCTGAGGACAGGAGACAGGATAGCTGGTGCTTACTATCTACCAGCTTAGCCAAAAAGGTGAACTCTGGGTTCAGGAAGAAAGAGGAGTGTGGGAGTGGTGGACGACATCAATACTCCAGTGTGATATCTGTGTGTAGTCACACACAGAGGAAGGGGGGTGGTAGGTACCTGCTAGCACGTGCAAGGCCTAGGGGTCAGTCCTTCAGTTCAAAAATTATTACCTATAGTGGCTCACAATTTTAAATACCATCACTGGGGAAGCTGAGGTAGTAGTGCCACCAGTTCAAAGCCAGCTACATGTAGCGAATTTTAGTTCAGTTTGGTGAAACTGTCTTAAAAACACTAAGAGCAAAAACCCTAAACTACCATCAAATGGAACCCTTCAAAGGAGTATCCTAGTCTCTAACTGCATAGCTGGGCAACATGGAGATGCTACATATGGGAAAGGAGGGCTGAGAAATAAGAGAAACTGAGAGCTTCCCACCACTGCTAGCTGGTTAATTTTCTTCCTTTAGGTTCAACGAGTGCTATGGAATACTGGGTGTGCTGGACCACCTGCATGGGACTGATGTCACGTTTAAGAAGACCAAAGCTTATGAGAGACATGTGGTCCTGTTGGGCTTCACTCCACTCTCAGAAAGCATCCCTGATCCTCCAAAGACAGGGAGTGTGTGCACTTAGACCATCTGGCCTGTGCCCTCATCAGTAGACATTCTGGGAACCAGGCTGCCCTTAACAATTTGCCTCCCTTGGCCACCATACTCAAAGGCCACGATAGGATCAGTTTCCCCCACATTACTTCTCATGTTACTTAGGACCAGGAGTTGACTTAGTGAAGATTGAGGCTGAAGGCCATTCCAGGGAAGACAAATCAGAGAGCCAGGGTGAATCCCCTAGTCCTCTGCTCCACTCCCACACACCACTCCCATGTGGCCTAGGCAGGATTCAGAGAATGGGGTGGCTGTTGGACTGGCTCCAAAAGCTTTTCTCATATCCAAAGCCAGGGCACCCTGGGATAGTCACAGGTCAGATAACACTTGGTAGATGTGGTTCCCTGCTTCTCACCAAGAAAGCTGTTTACTTTTGCCCTCCACAGACACAAGTCCCTTAGAAGGAACAATGACAATCTACAGGAGCTTCTCACTGTGACATGCACCCCAAGTCCTGTGCCTTAGCCTGTATGCAAACTGAGACTCAGGTCCAGGTAATGTTCACGTTAGGGAGGACCTAAGTCACTTACTCTCTAAACCTAAACCAGTCTTTTACTCCCAACAATGAGCCTCAGAAAACATAATCCAAAGGCAGGCCCTCTTTTTCCAGATGGTTACTAGGTTCAGGGAGTACTATATCAGGAGGGTTTCTCCGGGAAAACTTTAGCAGGCCCCACCCTGGCAGCACATGGTTAGGAATCCTGGTATCTTAAGAACTTGGCATCTAGGTTGGATCTGGGAGGCTGCCACCATTACCATTTGCTAAGTTTCAGCACAACTGTGTTGATCTTACTTTTTTCACTTCAAGGTCAAGAAAACTCCCTATTGTAGCTTATATAAAATAACACAGCTGACTACAGTGGTTTGCAATGTAGTCCCAGCTGCTTGGGGTTTAGGCCCAGTTCAGAGCCAGTCTGGACAATAGAATAAGACCTCAAGGTCTGATGGGCCAGCTGGCAACTGAACACCTTGCAGCCAGTCCCAGTCTCCCCTGACCTTGGTGACCTGAGTCCTTAGATTCCTTCAAGTACCGACCTACTGAACTCCACCATCATTGGTTGGGAGCCATCCCCTTCTTCATATGAGCACCAGGAGAAATGTTCTGCAGCAGCAGCAGCAGCAAGTCAGAAAAACAGACACAGTGCCATACTGTCCTGGTACATGGCCTGTCCCCATAAGGCACTAATACTGGTGAATAAGCCCTTCATGTCTTCACAAAAAGATGGCAAAAGCAGCATGCAATAAACAAAGTCTCCATTTAACTTCAGCAGACTTTGTTGTCAGTGCCTACCCACAAACACTTGGGAACTAAGGCCAAACAACTGAGGAGACAACTGCACAGCTGCTCCTGATCAATGTGACTGGTGGGTTTGGTTCATCTGGCAACCTACAGAACAGAGGCCACTGGTAGTGACCATCCTATTACCTGACACAAACAAGTGTCAGGTCTTGGAGGAAAGTAAACACTCTACATAAAGAATTCTTGTATATCCCCAGGAAATAAAACCCCAACTTCATCCTTTAACAAGCTTCACAGCAGGCAGGGTCAACGAGGGTCAAGGTTAGCCAAGCACCCGAGTGCACAGGAAGCACCAAGGGCCCTGCCTTAGGTGGATCCCCAAGAGCCAAAAGCAGCCTCTTCTTCTAGAGTGCACTGCAGTTATGCTCATGTAGATAAAGCATGGGCTCCTCCATCTGGGGATACACACCAGGTTTCTCCCTCACACCCAACAGCAGTGTCCCAGATGGGAGACCAGCCAGTGTTTTGCCTTTTCAAGTTTTTATTTTTATATATTTTTTTGTATTAAAAAGAAAAGCATAATAATTACCACCAATTACAAAGGACTAGAGCAGGACCAGAATAATGAATCACTTCAGCCTGGGAAGCAGACACTCTCAATAATATTAATGTTATAATACAAGCTCATTCAAGTATTTTACATTTTTTTTGTCCTGTTGAATGTGATATCCTAGCACATGGTAAAGACAATGTATGAGCGTAAGGTGGAACCTTCTCTACAAAGCCCATGAGAGTTTTCCTTTCCTGTGAGAACTGGGCTCAAAGTTTTCTTTTGCCTCTGCCATCACCATGGCTGGAGGAGATGGTGGGAGCTGGGGAGAACCTAGGGGCTCTTTAACAAGAGACTCTACTCTGGGGTCCCATCCGGGGGGACCAGGTAACCCAAGCCTCTAGCACTCCCCACCATTAGCCTTGTCTTCATGCCCTTTCCCTCACGCCCAGACCTTCCAAGCAGCTTGCTTTCTTTTGTAAATGTCATCAAAAAGGAGTGGGAAGGAGCTACAGAACAAAAACACTCAACAACTTGACGTGGGGCTCAGCACCTCTGTCTGAACCTGTGGTCCAGGCTGGAGCAGGGCCAGGCAGCCTTCTCTTCCAGTAGCAAATTTGCTCAGAGGCACAGAGGGCAAACCACAATCTGCCCCTTGCTGGGCCCGGGTGGATGACCAACCCTGCACAAGCAGAGGATGAAGGCGGTTCCATTTGGCAGGCTGTCTGTCTTAGGTCTTGGATTCCATGGGAAGATGGTGATGGGGAAGCGGCTTGCTCTGGTGGGCCCCGCCACTCCTGGCATACTTGTCACAGATACATCGGTCCTAAATTCAAGTGTCTTCAGAAGGTGAAGATGTAAACTACTCTGCAACATCAACTCTTAACATATCACAAAAAATACACACACACACACACACACACACACACACACACACACACACACACACCCCTCCTCAGCCTATGTTGAGATGATAGCCTCACCTTCCCACCCAAGAGGGGCTTCTTCCCTCAGAAGGTCTGGGAGGATCTGGGAGAGGATGGCAAACCTAGCCTGGATAGTCTAGATGGAAACCACCTTCCCTGACACTGGGCCTCAAGCCCTGAGGTTCTGTGGTGCTGGATATACAGTATAGGGCTGAGTGAGGAAAGGAGAGGAAAAAGGGAAGAGAAGAAGGGAGCCCACTGTTTGGTGAAGGTGTACCATAGGGCAGGTACCAGACTCAGGAGAAGGCCTCAGATCCCAGCAGCAGATCCTGTTCCAATATTTGTTTGAGACAAGTGAGTCACAGGAGCTGACAAGGGATTCCCACATTCTAAGCACCGGGAGGACAGAGTGGGGCAAGGAATTAGCTAAAAATAACAAGGTACCCAAAGGCCGAGGGCAAGCTCTTGTCAGCCTGGGATGCTGTGTCCTAGTCCCAACTTTTGGGACAATAGAGGAACTCAGTGATGAGGAGGGTCACACAAGTTTCAATCAACTGAGCAAAAAGACCACACTCCCTCATGCAGCCCAGGTCCCAGTGTGGGGTGAGCCTGCAGTCTCCCCAGCCCGTGGGCTCAGTCCTTCATCCCCTCCTCAGCTCCTGATGACAGCAGCCTTCAGCCACTCCTCTGGCATTTGAAGTGCAGCTTGGGCAGTCAGTGGCTTTTGAAGAGAAGTCAGGTATACTCTATGTCCACATATACCTTCCTGCCATGGGGCTTCACCAAATGGCAGGATTCCCCAGCTCTTGGTTCCTCTCACCCCTTCATCCCAGGCAGGGCCAATGAGAGGGTGGGCAGAGATGGCTTGCAGGGGGTGATGGTATTAAGATGGGAAGACCATTGGAGAATGGTACCTTTTTCCACCTTGTGATACAAACCTCCTTGAGGTCAAAGGTCTTAAGGTTAGACACAGATCTAAGCTGAGGACATCAGTGGGTGTTCATCCCCTTGTTCTGGGGTTGGGGAGATGTGCAGACTGAGGACAAGTGTGTACTAGGCAAGACCAATTCTGTTTACAACAGTCTGAAGCAAACTTGGCCTTGGAGTTCTGAGGATAGGGTAGGGTAGGGCGGGGCAGGGCAGGCCTGGTGAGGCTACAGCAAGCAGAACAAGGACAGTGGCAACAGTGTGCAGACACAGGACATCGGCTTCGAACAATGCAACAGCAGGGGTGTCCTGGGGATAGCTCTGATAGAACTGCCCCAACTCTCTTGCCTCCAGGTAGGAGGCCTGGTACATGCAACTCAGTCCCGAGGAAAATTCTAGTCAGTCCAAGCCCAGGGACATCCCAGGCAGGTGGAGCTCTTCCGGAGGCTCAAGGAAAACAGGCATTTGGGCATTAGTTCAGGTTCCCGCTCCACAATAAGGCAACTTTTAAAAAAATATTATTTCCAAAAACAGAACAGAAGAAAAATTCCAAGGAGGGGAAAGACATCACTTTCTATGGATTAGGTGGGTTCTGGTTTTTTTGTCATTTTTTTTTTTTTTTTTTTTTAGTGGTCGATTTTGTCTTTTTTTCTTTCTTCTTTTTTCTTTTCTTTTTTCTTTTTTTGGTGGTTTTTTTTCTGTTTTCCCAAGGATGGAAAGGTCAGAGAAAAAAATAAAATGGATCATCTTTCAATAGTCTCTTCTGGTGTGAGCAGCGTCTCTGGGGTGGGGCGAGAGGGTGAGGGGGAGAGGCTGAAGCTCCCCTACCCCCACTGAGATCCTTTGGTTTCCTTCCCCCAGAGGCAGCAGGAGGGCGTGTGGAAAAGCAGGGACACGGTGATGGCAAGCCCCAGGTGATCAAGGGGCTGCTGCTTCTGGGGCCCATGGGCACCGCCAGAGCCTTCTGGTGGGCTGCATAGTTGGTTTGAGGGGAATGGGAAGAGGTGGGGGAGACAGATCGGCCTAACAGCCGCAGGAAGGGCTGAAGAGTGATTTTGGTAATCCAGACAAACTATCAATAATTTAAAACTTGATATATATATATGTATATATATATATGTATATAAAATCTCTCCCCTTCCCCTCCCCCCTTAGAAGTTATGATGGAAGTCATGGAGAAAGGAGGGGAAGGGGTACTTGGAGGCTCCTGCCCAGGAGCACCGCTAACAGCCCAAATGGTATACACTGCTACTTAGTGCAAAGGCCCATCCTTAGCAACTCTAGGCCTGTCCCTTCTCTTGTTCACTCTCCTGGGCCTGGGCACCCCC